TGTAGCGACTACAAAGACCATGCTCTCAAAGACTCAAACACATGGTTCATTATTCATTTTATTCGAACACAATATACAAGAGGTTAATCGATTAATCTTTGGTTCCACTTTGAAATTATGTCACATGTGAAGTTGTTTTTTTCTTTTTTCATTTGATGATTAATGTTTTTTTTCAGTTGAGGTAGCAATCTTTAGATTTGCTACTTACTAGTTGACTCAGTTTGGTTTAAAAAAAAAAAGGTATTTGGTATAATCAAATAACAAGTAAACAAATTTTATTATTTGTAAATATAAGTTAAATATTAGATATTCTTATATTATTATTATTATTTTTTGATTAACCCGGGGGTATCCTAGGCCAATGGAGAGGCCCAGACTAATCCCCAAGGGGAGGTGCAGCCCACAGATAGACCCTCTCTCCAGGTATTCAAATGAGCCCTAAAGCATAGACCCATATCCATGTTATGTGAACAGGATAATTGTGGATCGAACCTGAAACATGTTGGTGTCTTAGTCCCGTCTCCTTACCACTGGACCACAAACACCCGGTCGAAGTTTTTTTTTAACTATTTTTACTTTTAACTACTTAACTACTTAATTCTTCTACTTATTATCCATTATTTGTTATATATTACTTAGTTTATTCAATATTCAGTATATATTTCATTAAATAATTATTACTTTATGTATTGCATTTTCATCACAACGAAAATAATTGTGTGTTTAAATATCAATACCTTATTTTAACTGAAATCCAACAAAACTTTAACTATTGGGCCCAAAAATCTAACGTTTATATAGAGAGCCATATTAACTTACTAGGTTAAGATCCGCGCCTTGCGCAGAATGAATATTTTATATACATTACTTTTACGTATTATATATTTTTTACATATTATAAAATAATAAATATATATTGATAATCAAAAAATTAGTAACTATTATGCATATAATTAAATTGGTGTAAACATATAAATACTTTTTTATAAATTTTAAACAATTTTTTTTCTATTTTATATGATATACAATTAAGTTTAAATGATATTATCGCAGAAATATAATACATTTTTAATATTGATATCAGTTAAACTATAGTTTATACTCATATTATGTTTTCTTTATTACAAAAATTTTAAATCACTGATAACAATTTTTTTTTTTGTGTGGGATATTTAACATTTTTAGTAATTTATAATTTTAAAAAATTATGAAAAGTTTAAAACTAAAAATTAAGTTGTCAGTATCTGTTCAAATTTTTTATCAAAAAATCAAATCAAGTTATAAATTAAAATACATATATATTTTTATATAGTACATAATTTATTTTGAAAAAAAAATATATATATATATATCTATATTATTAAAAGAGAAGTACCCATATAAAATACCCCTTAATTTTCACTTTTATTTACAATAGCATGCCACTGAAGTAATTAATTACCCTACCTTATAGGATTCTTTGTCTTTTCACTTTAATTAATGCATTTCCAAAATCAAATTTTAACTAAAACAAAATTATGGCAAGAATAATTAATGAAAATAATTATTTTCATATATAACTTTCCTAATTAAATAAATAAATTATATAGAAATTGTTTTACTAATTCCATATACATAATAATTAATTCCAATATTAATTAACCTACCTTTTAGGATTTTTTTCTTATTAATTATCTACATATCTTTAAATAGTTAATGAACAATATCTTTTTCAAAGATATATAATTATATTTTTATTATTTATAAGTAATAAATAAAATAAAAGTCACAAAAAGAAACATTTATATAATATATAATAAAAAGATTAATATAAACATATCATGTTATGTATATTTTTATATAAATAATAGTTCAAGGTAAATTCAGAATAATAAAAGTTAAAAAGTAGAAATATATAGGACCATATATTTTAAATAGTAAATAAAACAATTTAGTTATACATTATCATAAAATTTTCATCTATAAAAATAAAATAAAAATATTTGTGCAGATATACGGGTCATATTTTTAAAATAAGTATGACTCAAGGATAGTTTATAAGATAAAATAAAATTACTCAGTATAAACTATAAAATTGTGTGTTTAAAATTTCATTTTAAACAATTATTTAAACGGGTAAATTTAAAAATATATATTATCACTTATAAAATATATAAAAACAAACACTTGCGCGGATCAAACAACAAACTTTTCGGTATTCTTCTATCAAAATTAAACCCATAAGTAATTTGTAACCATTTAATTGATAATTCATTTTTTATTTTATATCATTTAATATAAACCTAAAAATTAAAAGAAAACAAAACACCCGTCCGGTCGGACGGGTCATGGTCTAGTATATATTAAATGAGACTTCTTACTTATATAATTTTGTAATCATTTCTATTTTGTTAATAAAAAATTTAACCATGGATCACAAAAATTTTAATGTGAGATTTTTTAACAACTTTAGTCATTTATAGTCATTTAAAAAAAATTCAAAGTATAGCATATACGGAAAAATATAATTTTTTTATTTATACAGTTAATGTAGTTGTTTAATTTATTTAGTAAGTCAAAATTTAAAAAAATAAACTATTTTTTATCAAATCTTTATTATTGAAAATCATTAATTCTCAAATATTCTTTAACCATATTTGGAAATTCCATTATTTCTATTTAAGGAAACAATGAAAAACATTAATAAGTCATTTATGATTAGTTTAATAAAAACCTTATTATATATTTAGATGGACCAACATATTATTCTAAAGATTATAAGAATGATTGTGGTGATGACACGTGACTAGAAAAAATGTTGTAATGTTTCTCCTTTAATATATAGAGGATACTTCGAAGTTTATATGTGTATATAAAATTGTGTTTTAGATTTCAAATATCTCATGTTTAACTTCAAGTAGTCAAGAAAAATAGATTAAATAAACGAGAAGATGAATATCAAATGAAGTCAAATAAAAGATAAAACCAAGTAATAAACTAAATCAGTAATTTACAAGTATTCAAATTTTTACAAGTACTTGTTCAGAACGGATAAGTACAAGTAAAAAATATAACTAGTTGAACAAACTAAGTTGGATGCCAAGTATCTAAAAAATACTGGATACTTATCCCGTGTGCAAGCTTAACTTGGACAAAATTGTATATTAAGGGTCTAACTGGTTCAAACACAGTAGTTGCTGTGCGGTTGTATGAGTTTGCGGATGCGGATGATATCGGTTTCTAGCAGTTTTAAGTTTTGTACGATTGGTACTACGGTTAGAAATTAGTGCATTTGCATGATAGTTATTTAATGCAGCAGAGGTTATATAATAAAATAATAAGATTTACATTTTACATAATTATAAAAATATTATAAATTATAATATTATAGTAAATATAAAAATTATATTTAAAAAATTATAGTTTCAATTGTTTTTAAAAAATATATAAAATACTATGACTGGTTAACTACCAAATGCAGCAGCTGTTAAATTATAAAGTAGCAATATTTATATTTTATATAATTATAAATTATCATAAATCCTAATATTATAATAAATATAAAAATTATATTTACAAAGTTATAGTTTCAATTTTTTTAAAATTATAGAAAATATTTTTATTTTAAAATTTTATAACAATAATTAAAATATAATAGATATATTTTACTATTTTTATAAATTTTATTTAAAATTTTTATTGAATATTTTTATTTTTGTATTTATACTGTTTTAAAAAAAAAGAAAAAAATTACCATTCTACAACCGTCCGCAACCGCAAACGGTAGCTGGAACCATTTTTTGAATTTAAGAGGTTTAGAGGGATTTGAAACGGTTTAGAGTGGTTTGAATGATTGTTTTAAAATGCCAACAACCGTTGTAAACCGTAAAAGCTGCATTTACAGATGATAACGAAACCAGTCTTACCCTTAGATGGCGGCGATTCTCTGCGTTAGACCCATCTGAGACTTCCTCTCTCGACTCTGATTCCACCAACAAATTCACTTCCTGTAAAATCAAATCAGTTAGCGTTCATCTCCATCCGAGTTTTTATTTTCTTAAATTGAATTGTAAAGACATAACAGAGGTTTTTGTAGTTGAGATGCCCGAAAGGTAAAACCATCTGAAACCTAAAACCTAAGATGTAAGAGCACCCCCCATCAAATGTTTATATAGGGTTCACACGTTTTCCAAAAAAAAATTAAAATAATGAATAGTATTGAACCTGTCTCTTGCAAGTTCCCCGCAGTGAACCCAGTTCATCACTGTAGCGTAGGCTTCACGACATCTGGCGACCCGCGCGCAATTGGTCCAATTATTAATTTTTTTTTTAAAAGTAAACAAAAAAATAAAATAAAAATGAAAAAGCCACATGGCGAACCCCACCCCAGGTTTGCTAATGGTGATGCTAAATTGTATGTGTTTGTTGTTCAGGTGATGTGACCGACATGTCTATGCACAGGAATGATCTATATATATACACACAAATGAAGCTGTTATAGAATGTTAGGATTGTATAACTTGTATTCTCAATACAAAGGTGGCCAAGATGCTAGTGGCACATTAAACTTGATGTTGGGAAATGCATAGAGTCATGTATTTCTGTGTTCACTCTCATCCCTCATGAACCATTGTATGTTCTGAACCCACTCGGAATAGCTAAATCTCATTTAATATGTCTGGACGAATCAACACTTCTTGAAATCTTCATAGAAAGGGAACTTTAAAAACCAAACTCTTTTGAGGAACATGGTAGAGCAGGAAACATAGCCTTTTGTCTGAGATGCACTGAATTTTTTTGATATCTAAATAGCTATTTTCTCCTAAGACATTAAAACATAAGGAAACATAGGGATTGATTAATATAAAACTTTTATAATATGATTCTTATTCCTGTAAAAGCGCAGAAATACACAAGCCTCAACCACTCCAAAACTACAATGTGTATACATATATACGTGAAAATATATAAAAGGTAGCTTTTAAAAACGGTGTGGTTGAATAAGTTTGGTAGTAATGTGATTACAAAGGAGGAGGGAGGAGCCAGCTGGATCCTTGGATGTAACCAAGCGAGATGAAATTGTTAGCTTCAACGTTGTCAATGTCTTGTGTATACTTAACCCTTTTCTCCTTGCGCGATCCTGGTCCTGAGCACTTATACTCTCCATAGAACACCGTCCTGCTCATCAGTCAGTGTAAATTTACTTATAAAAATATTGTTGTAATGACGTTTATTAGTTAATCATATAATATAAAATGGTTTTTGATTACATACTTGTCACGCTCGGATTGGAGGTTTTCATGCCATCCAGACGGGTTAACGACACTTGACATGTCAGTGTATGCGTAAACGACCTTGGGGTGGCTCATCCATGCTCGGCCCAAGTAGATCCCAGTTCCAGTCCCTGTAACCTTGCAGTGCACAAATGAGTACCCACTTTTCTCTTCCGTGCTTTTCCCCGCATGAGCTGTGATCACTCTGAGTCCATCTCCCACAACGTTAAGTTGTGTACGCTTTACATGAAGGAAAAGTATTTAGTTAGATAAATAATGTACATAAAGATTATGCTAGGTTTAGGTACGTACGAGGTATAGAGAGCGTCCACTTCCAAAGATGAAATCAAATGTTCCTTCGATGTAACAGTCTTTGAAGAAATGGTTTCCAGTGTCATCACAAATCGTGTCTTGATAACCATAGAATTTACAGTTATAGAAAGCTGCTTTGTTGCCAGAGATTCTCATAGATAAAGCTTGTGCTCCTTTCCTTTTCCCATCAGGCATTGGAGCAGAATTCTACAAAATTTAAATGTAATATGTATAGGCATCTCACTTTAGAAGCAAAAAAATAGCTAATAGTGAAATATTAAATAATTATTTATATCCAAAAGATCCAACAATACGTAATTTATAGAAGAAACTTGACAATGATGATGAATCTAGGTTTTAAAATGAGAATATACCTTGACGATGATGTTGATGGCCATGAAGTAGTCGGACAAGACAATGAGAGTTGCACTATCGACTGTTCCGTATTGGGCTGCCGTACCGTCGAATGTCAACACTGGCATTGCATCTGGATGACCGTACAATGTGATGAATGGCTTGTTTCTATCGATCGTAACCTTCTCTTTGTATTCACCGTGACCTAACTTGATGATCACACGCTCCTTGTTTCCTGCGGGTACACTATTTATGGCCTCGGTCAGTGTCTTGAAATGGCCTCCTCCATTTTGTTTCACCTACATACACCAAAATAATTCTCATGAATAAAAGTTAAAACCCATGTTTAATTAATTATTATCATGCATTATTAACCGATTTAGATATAATTTTGTTAGAACACTAGTACAATTTGAACGTTATGATCTTGCCTTAATGACACGCGGCGTAGCCTCAGCGGTCAATAGAGCTGGATCTAACGTGTCTTTTCTACTAGCCAACGAAGGGACGTTGGTGTTGAACCACTGCTCGATTTGGTTTTTGTTCTGAGGAATTGGTGTAGCATCGTTACCATAAACTACATGCCATGTAATCAGAACGAGCAGGATTGTTACACTTAAAGACACACAATTGTATCCCATTTTTACTACTTTTTTTTTCTGTAGAATAAAGATGAATATATTTTGTTCTTTTCTGAAGGTATATATGTACACCACCGCCGAAAGTTAAAGAAAATTTGTTGCCATTCATTTTTTTACCCTAAATTGGTTTCTGTTTCTTGCAGCTCTTTATTAGTTTTTCTATCCCTTCAAAGGTTCTATATATACATTTTTTAAGTTTCTTCGACTTAAACTAAATTAGTTATGGTGTAAACCCGTTAGTTTTGTTTTTAGAGCAAATGATTAATTACCTATTAAGTACTAAACCAAACATAACACCAAGATTAATCAATTGGATTCACTAATATTTGACGTGGCGACACATTTTGAAAGGAAAAAAAAAACATCAAAAATAATTTTAAAATTTAAAGTACATATCAATCAATTTTATAATATATTTATTTTATAAATATTTATGTCCGTGCATGAGCACGGGAAAATCACCTAGTTAACTATTAAGTACTAAACCAAACATAACACCAAGATTGATCAATTGGATTCACTTGACACCAATATTTGATGTGGCGACCCTTCTTGAAAGGAAAAAAAAACATCAAAAATAATTTGCATATGCTTCAGCCCAACGATCAAAATTGTCATATGTTCATATATATGCAACAACAAATAATTATGCGAAATCTCAACATAGGTTGAAGCCATCTAAGTAAAAAACGTGTACTAGACAAATAGTATATACAGATTGCATGAGAAGTATTAAGAGGTTGGTTGCGTGTGCCTCAAGACACACCTTTGACTTCAAAAACAGAAACCCTAACTTGAAAAAATCAGGCTTTCAAGACAAGGAAATGAAGGCTTGAGCAGATTTAGCGACCTTGATGAAGACATCTTCGAGAGTTGTGTCGGCAAGTCCCCAAGCAAATACTGTGAAGTTGGATTTAGCCTTTTCTACAGCCCTAAACACCTCAGCAATTCTAACTTCGTTCTTTGGGAGCTCGAACTTCTGTGTACCAGCGAGATGATATACTTTCTTGGCATTTGGAGACACAGCTGAAACCAATCTCTCGACATCTTCCTCATGTTCCGAAGATGTTGTCATCGTGAACACATATGATCCACCGTATCTGCTCTTTAGTTCCTTGGAGTTTCCTATGCATTGCAAGCCTCCATCTACATATATCCCCAACCTATCGCATAGAAACTCTGCTTCTTCCATCGAATGAGCTGAAAAGTTAAGATTATGTTAATCTAAGTACAATGCTTAATCACATCCCATTACATATATGTATATTACTTGTGAGGATAATTGCTGTGTTTTGTTTAGCACGCTGAATAACATCCCATAAGTTCTTCCTCGAGGCTGGATCAAGACCTGTGCTTGGCTCATCCAAATAAACTACCTAATTTTGGGTTTGTTAATAACTAACATGAGCCATTGCTTGAAAACACAACACAAACTAACATGAATACACACGTTACCTTTGGCTTCCCAATAAGTGATAGTGCCACACTAAGGCGCCTTTTCATACCTCCGCTGTAATTTCCGGCAGGTTTGTCTCCAACTCCTCCATCGAAAAGGCTGACACTCTTTAGAGATTCTTCCACAGCCTTGAAATGATTTTATATCCATGAATTAAAAATGTCATATGGAATTATAACACATAAGAATAAAATAAAACAGCAAGGTGTGGCAGATATATATACTTGCGTTAGAGCAGGGCCTTTGATGTTCTTGAGTCGCCCATAAAAGAGAAGATGTTCTCTTCCTGTTAGTGTCTCCCAAAGCAAGCTGAAATCAAGAAAAATGACATCAAAACAAATATGTTCTTTAAAGTGTTTCTTGGTAATGAAATAACATGCAAATGTATTGCTGAAGAGTATTTACTCGTGCTGTGGGCATACACCCATGCTAGTGTATACTTTGTTCATATCCTTGCATATGTCCAAACCTTGAACCAAGGCTGTTCCAGATGAAGGTTTAAGTAGCCCAGTCATCTATCACAACAACAAAAAAAAATAGTACAAGATTACAAACTTTGACACTCTATAACGTTTTGTTTTTTGAAACTGTTTTGTTGAAACTGACCATACTGATGAAGGATGTTTTTCCAGCGCCATTAGGTCCAAGCATGCCGAAGCATTCTCCTGAAGGCACGTCGAGATATAAACCTCTTACTGCCATTTTTGGAGGGTTGCCATCTCTACCTGGATACACTTTTTTCAAGTTGTCACACAAAATGGCATGCCCTGCGCAACCTTCATTTCTCAATTGTTGAACTTTTTCCCTCTGTTTATTATCTCATTTTATGTTAATATCAAAGAAACATGGAAAGGCTAAAAAAATTTGACATGTTAAAACATACCTCATGAATGACATCTATTTTCCCCATATCTATGGAGACCTTTTTAGAATCCATCCTTTGCACGGTAGGCTTACTTGGTATAGAAGAAGATTTATTGAAAGAGTTCAAGAAAAAGAAAGGGTGCTTTCCAGATGAGAAAACTTGATCAGTATAGAAAGCTATGATGAGAGCCAGAAACCACTCTATGGACATGATCCATAAAACTTCACCCATTCCACAATCACTTAAATCTTGCCACTTCATCCCATTTCCTCTGGAGGCATATTGTGAGAACTCATACAGCCCGCGGTATAGAGAAAAGCCAGGATACAATTCCAAGGCAACAATCCATTCCTCTGTTAAGCATAGAAATATTATATACCAAAAATAAGGAGTAAGTGCTGAAAATGAGCATGTTTTTTCTTGCTAAAAGTTACCAGGAAATGACTGAGTTTCAAGCATCTTTTGGAAGAGAAAGCTGCCCAAGAGCCCAGTTCCATACACCAATATGTAAGCAACGACTACAGTTAAAACCATAAAAATAAAGAGACGGTTTAAAATTTTGAAAACTGGCATGTAACATGTTCTTGATGAGAAATGTGATATGTTGTTATTACCTGTAACAGTCTTAACCTTTGAGAATATTGAAGAAACTAGAAAGGAAAGAGCGATTTGCAGATTCAAGTAGATAAAATAGAAAACAAATTGGATGCTATAGGAATTGAGCCGAAAATACTTGAGTCCTATCACTGATCCAAAGATCACCAAAGAAGCAACGTACAACACGGATATAGTTAGAAAATAGGCATATGAGATCAACCAATACGGACCATCTCCTAGGCCATGCATTTTCATTATAATTCGTAGACGTTCTTGTTTCTCATACACCAATGATGTCAAGATCACCTGCAAGATTTTTATAGCTAGTCATTTTACATACAATGGGATAATTAAAAAAAAAAACATTAAAATGATTTGTAAGAGAGGGAACTTACAGGGAACAAAAGAAGAACAACCCAAGTGAAGAAAAGTGGGCCAAGCAAGGAGGCGATGTCAGTATTCAATCTAGTTGCGTGTTTAGGAACTTCTTTGACAAACTCAAATAATATCCTTAGGCTAGGGCCTTTCAGAAACTTTAGATAAGCATTTGATATATGCAGAGGCATATGTTAATTAACAATGAGAGAAACATTATTGTAAGTGGATATATGCATTTCTTGAGAGGTACCAGATTGATAGAACGGGGAACTCGGACCAGCTTTACAGGCTCAAATGAAAACTCATCCTTGTAGGTTGAGTTATACCAGATGGTCACATTGAAGTTTTTTTTATCCGTACTCATGAGATCGTATGCTAATAATACAAAGAAAAAGTGAGGTGGGTTTTAAGCATACGCTATGATGATAATATAAAGAAATGTAATATGTGGAAGAAAAATTCGAAACCTGCAGCGATCTCATTTGTAATCCCAGTAGGGTTTCCCCTATAACTACCCTTGAAAAGCTCATTATTGACATCTATAGTGTTATTTCTCCAGAGACACAACCCTTGGACACACTTCACCACTGGGATTTTAAGACACAAACCATTTCAGATCAGTTTATCATCTTTCAAGTCAAACCTTTCCTTTGAACATCATAAGAGAGAGGTACAAAAAAATGTAAGATTCATGTTTATTATGGGCTTTCAACTTAAAATCAATTGATGATTAGTGGATATACTCCAACCCTTTATAGTAGTAGATTAATTCTTATATTTCCGATGTGGGATGTTTTTCATCAATATTCTCCCTCACGCTCGGACATCTAGATCTGAAGCGTGGACACTGTGGGAATAACATCCACAGAGGGCCCCAACATCGGTATAGTAGTAGTAGTTATAGAAAAGTAGGTCAAAAAATCTTATTGCTTTGATACCATGAAAGATTCAGATTTATTAAGGGCTTCCAACATAAAACCAATTGGTGATTAGTGGATTGGCTCCAACCCTTTATATAGTAGTAGATTAATTTTCATATTTCCGATGTGAGATGTTTCTCATCAATAAAAAATATACCTGTCTGAAGTTTTTCGAAAGAGAGTGGCCATGTAGAGTTTGCTTTGCACAGAGGTTGGATACTGTAGATAGGGAGACCTGAGGTAAGCCCTGGATCTGCATAATTGTTTTTATCTGCTGCTGTCGTTGAACCCTGAAAAAAAATGAGATGGAATAAATGTAGACTCTTGCATTGAAATTCAGACATATATATCTACAGGTGATCATGGGCATAGAGTGATGAAACATTTGTCTATGGCCTCCAAAATATTGATGGTTAATCTCCTCTAATATTAAAAAAAAAACATTACAACCATTGAACCATAACATGTCATCACGAGAATCAATTTTAAAATCTATAAAAAAGTAAGTTGGTACATCTAAACATATAATTTAATTTTCGTTAACCTAATCATATAATTAATTATTGATATAAAAATATTATTCATTATTTCCTTAAATAAACATACGAAATTACCTAATCTGATCAAAATATATAAGATAATTAATGATTTTAAATAATAAAGATTTGATCATAGTTTATACATCTCAATCATTTTTGTTTTATCTTAACATTATTAAAATAAACTAGACAATCAAATTAACTATATAATAAAAAATTTGATTTTTCTATATATGTTATATTTT